CAAGGATTTTTCAGGGTTAGGAGAATGAGACCCATCAGTTACTGGTATTTGGCATATTGGGTACGCCACGGGGAGTTTGCCAGACACATGTGGGCAGGTTACATTTGATAGCCTGCCAGGTTGTCCAAAGTAAGAATGAGTTAATAAAATGTCTGGGAGCTGGGTTTTATAGTCTCTGGGTCTTGACCATTGGTGGGATTACACGGAGCTGGGGGCGGGGTGTGGGGAGTTGGTGGGTGTCACCCCTGCCTACTGGAAGATGGAGGATCTGGGTGGAGGATGCTCAGCCCCGATCTGAACAGACTTGGAGATCTCAGCCCTGGGACCCGCATGCCTTTGTTCCTCTGCTAGTACCTTCATGGTTGTGGAGAGTGGTCTCAGCATGGTTGTGGCTGGTTCTGGAGGTCTTCGGCTGCCAGAGCTCTGCTCAGGGTGGGGAGGGAAACTCAACCCGCCCCCTTGCAAGGGGCCCCCGCGAGGACAGCCAGGCACAGGGGCAGGAGACTCTGGAAAGTAGAAGTCATGAAATTTGCTTGTAAGTGAATGGACATGGAGAGTATCCTAAGTATGCTAAGTGAAATGAGTCAGAAAGAGAGGGACAGATATAGAATGACTGCACTCATTTGCGGAATATAAAAGAACATAATATGAGACTGACACCCAAGGACAATAGACACAAGAAGATTGCTCTATGATTGGAAGCCTGTCTCCATAGTTGGAAGCCTGAGATGGGGGAAAATGTAGCTGGAATAGAGGAGGGATCACTAAATGAATGATAGTTGGAGGAATCATTCGGGATGGGAGATGTGTGCTGAAAGTAGATAAAGAACCAAACATGATAGCCTCTCAGAATCATATTGCAAACCATAATGCCCAAAAGTAGAGGCATGGGGAGGGCTGCGGTGGGGAGGGGGGGCTACTGAGGACATTGGTGATGGAGAATGTGCACTAGTGGAGGGATGGATGTTGGATCATTGTATGACTGAAACTCAAACATGAAAGCTTTGTAACTGTATCTCAAGATGATTCAATAAAGAAATAAATTTAAAAAGACCCAAAATAATAGTGTTAATATTTATGGTGTCAATATACAATTACTACACCATCTTATGGTCTTTTCCAAAATCTTTTTGTGTGGGAGGTAAGTGGTGGGGGAAGAGACCACAATATTTAAAAACTATATGTAGGCAATCATGAAAACCTCCTTGAATTTTCAGATTCACAGAGCCAAAAATCCGAGGATATGAATAAAACACACCACATGAGAAGTTATTGAAGGTAAAGTCTCAAAGTCTGATGGAAAAGCAGAAAACAAAAAGTATTGAGCTGACCTCTTTTAAAGACCCAACCTTTTTGTTTCCCTTTTAAATCTTTTAGTTATTGGGGGTGGAGAGATAGTAAGGTGGGTGGGACACTTGCCTAGCATGTGGCTGACCTGGGTTCAATCCCTGACACCCCATCTGGTTGGTATCTTTGTTACAGCAGGTGCAGGCACTTAGGTTCTTGTTCTCAAAAAGACTGAAGATCGAAAGCCAACAACCAGAAATCTAATGGCCAAATTCATAAAAGACATTATTTAAGGGAAGGGCGAGGAATGCAGCAGAGCTCCCAGATTGTGGGAGGGGTCTCCCAAAGACAGATTCTAGAGAAAGGCCAAAGTCTTTCCCTTTTTCATACTTTGTTAACAAAGGTGGACCAGGGAACATTTCTTTATTAAGCTCTAAGAAGGGGGAGAGGATGCTGAAATGATTATCTTCTGGTGTTGAAATCTAGCAGGGCTTAGGTCTTCCAGGTTATCAGGCACCACCTAGGCCAAACTTGTGACATTCCAATACAGATGATTCTATTTCTTTGGGGCCATTTCCCTAATCTTGCCCTGCCTATTCTTCTTTTGTCCCTATCACCCTAAGCACCACCAGGAGTGATCTCTGAGCAGAGTCAGGAATAAGCCCTGAGCCCAGCTGGATGTGGCCCAAAAGCCAAGTATTTCAGTTATTAATCTCCTTTATCCACTCACATTCATGGTAATTTTCTAGGTCTTGACTAAGAGCTTGTTGCTGCTGATGCCGGTGGGCTGGGTGACTTGTGTGAAGTGGGGAGGAGAGAGGCAGCAGCCTTAAGAAGGGGATCTGCCGCTTTTCCTCTACCCATTCTGGACCCGAAGAGTGGCAGTCTGTAGTGAGCTCCTACATGGCATGAACCTCACTTCCCTGCAGCCCCATCTTTCAAGCTGCACATAACACAGACTTGTTCTGTGTGGCGTGGGAAATGAGTTGGGGCAAGTGACAATAATGCAAAAAGGTGCTTCAGGAGTGGCTCCTGAGGACTACCATATTTTAAAAACAAAGTCAAAATGAAAACAAAACAAAACAGAAATGTCATTGCTAGAAAGACTACCCTATAAAAAGTGCAAAAAAAAAAAGTTGTCTGTCCTCATGTTGCCAGCAAGTTATATCAGATAGTAGAGTGCTATTAAATAAAAGAAATAATGTCTAAGTGGGTGGAAGTCAGTCAATATTCAGTTATCAGGAGGGCCTATAGTTTAAGGTAACAATGTTCTTTTAGATTGACATACACATTAAACACATTTCTTACAAAATTCCACTCGCATTATCTGAAGAAGTTAATAAGATGATCTTCACATTCATTTGGAAACCCAGAGGACGCAATGAAATCTTGATAACAAACAAAAATGAAGAACTTGTGATGTCAAAATTTGTAACAAAGCAGCAGTCAAGACAGAGAGTGTATGTGGGACATGCTACACCCTTCTAGGGTGTATGTGGGATATGATACAACCATCTCCTCCTAGGCATTAGGACTTACCCCAGAAATGAGAAAACTCTATGTGAATACAAATATTTGTTCATAAATATATTAATCAAACCTTCCCTTTGGTATTCTTGATGCTGTTGTGATCAGGGAGACAGCCACAGCTGAGGTGACAATGTGGTGCTATGAGTCAACCCAGAATTCCACACAGGCAAGCATGTGCTCCATCACTTGAACAACACCTCTGTTTCAAAGTCTTATTTCTCAATAAGAAATAATAAAGTCTTATTTCTTAAAAACTGAAGCTGGAGACTGGAGAGACAGTACAGCAGGTAGGGTGCTTGCCTTACACACTTCCATCTTCTGCACCACATATGATCTGTCTCCTAAGCCCCAACAGGAGTGATTCCTGAATACAGAGGAATAATCTTGAGCATATCCTGGGTGTGGCCAGAAAACAAAGAAGCCGACATCACCACCACCACCACCACCACCACCACCAATTACAACAACAAAAAAAGGAAGCAGCCTAAATATCCACCACAGGGAAATGGATTTAAAAAAAGCATGGTAAGTCTACTCAATGAAAGAAATATTGAGTGATGAAGAGAATGAACTAAGGATATATTCAACAACATGGGTACACTTCAAAACAATTACCTTGAGTGAAAGAATCCAGATAACATACTATAACTAAAGTATCCATTCTTGAATATGTATATAGACATCTTTCTTCAGATTGCTATCATATTGGGAAACTTTATTATTTCTTTATATATTTTGTATTTTTCTTCTCTCCTTCAAATCCTATTATATATACACTGATATATTACATATATACTGATGTGTATATATACAGAAAGCAAATGAAGTTTATGCATCTTCATTCTTTTTTTCTTTGTTCCTTAGACTAAGCACTGTCAACTGATTTATCTTCAAGCACTACTTTTTTCATTTGCCAGCCCAAATCTGCCACTGTTCTCTATTTTTTGTTGTTGTTTTCTTGGGGGTCACAACCAGTAGTGTTCAGGAGTTACTTCCAGCTCTGTGTTTGGGGGTCACTCCTGGCACTGCTCTGGGGATCCATTGTACCATTGCCATTGTACCTTTATAACCATATAGTTATATGGTTATACCTTTTGCTCTTTTTGATAATTCCCATTTCTTCATCACTATTCTTCATCGTTTTACTCTTTATTTCACTGTTCACTGTTTCCATCCTTTATTTAACATGTTGGGGCATCCTGAGTGGACTCAGGGGCCCAGTTCTAGCTGGCTGGCCTGAAGTTTCAGTGTTTCTGCACAGCCATGTGCTTACTTTCATACCTGAGGAATGTAAAAATACTTCGTTGACAGTATTTAAAGATGAAGTTTATTCAATAAAAATTTAAGAGTTTGGGTAGAGAGATAGTACAGCGCTTAAGTTGCTTGCCTTGGGCTGTCCAGAGTCCACCAGGAGGGATCCCTGAGCGTAGAGTCAGGAGTAAGCCTGGATGGGCACTGCCGTGTGTGATCCAAAAGCAAAAATTGAAAGTTCAAAGATAAAAATATTCCTACTCAGTCCATATTCAGATATCTATCTCTGCTCAAAAATAAGTATTAAAATAATTTTAACATGACCCCCCTTCCCCCCCCCCCCCATCTCTTTCACCAGGAAAAAAATAAAAGCGGGGAAAGCGCAGGAAGTTAGTATTTGGCAAGAACGCTATGGCCAGAACAGGTCTGGAAGTATGGAAACAACTTTTCTTTTTTGCTTACTTGTGTCTTCAAGGCGTGATAAGTTTTGCTTGTTTCTGGGTGCATCGTTCAGTTTCCTAAACTAGGGCGTGCACGCTTCTGCCCCGAGAGGGAGTGGGGCAATCGGCAGGGGCGTTCCGCGCGGCTCGGGCTCTTGTTTGGAACCCTTTCGACTATGGGGCCACTACACCTCCGAAGGTCGCTCTGCGTGAACGCCCACAATCTAGCCAGCATTCGATTGAATCTCCGAGCTGAAGCTGTCCTCGCAGGTGATACGGTCGCAGGTGAGAGCGAAGTCTGGCGAGAAGCCAGACTCGGAGTCGGCGACCAATCGGGAGGCGGGATCCCATCGGGTGTGGGCGGGCCCGAGCGAGGCGGCCGAAGTGCGCGCGCGCAGTCCGGCGGCGGGGCGGGGCGGGGCGGGGCGGGGCGGGGCGGCGCGCGCCCGGCAGCATCGGCAGCGGCGGCGGCGGCTGGGCGCGGGGCGGGGCGGCGCGCGCTCGCAGGTGCGGCGGCGGTGTCGGCGGCGACGGCGGCGGGGGGTTCGAGCTGCGCGGCCGGCGGAGGGTTCGCGGCCCCTGAGCGCGCCGCGGAAGGGACCCGCTCCGGGAGCCCGGCCACAGCCTGCGTCCTCGCGACCAGGCGGTGGCGCTGCAGCGGAGGGGCTCGGGCACGGGGCCCGTCGAGACCCGGGACGGCGGGACGGCCGAGCCAGGAGCCGCGGGCCCGGGTTACCAGGTAGGTGGGCCGCGCCGGCCCGGCCCGGAGGAGCGCTGGGGGCTGGCTGCACCGGGGCGACCCGCCGCCAGCCTCCCGACCCCGCTGCGCGCACGGGGCCGGCGCCCGCGGTTGTCATGGAGACGGCCCAGCCTAGGCAGCGCTCCCGGTCGCGCCTGGGGGGTGGGGGGAGGGGTCCTCCGGCCCTGCTGACCCTTCCCCAGACAGAGCCGCGCGGGCCGGGCGATTGCGGGCCGGAGCGAGCGGTTGCGGGTCGTGGATCCGCTCCGGGCGGCGCTAGGGCTGGGTCGGGTGACTCCAGACGCCCAAGGCCGCCGCGCTGTGTTTTGGGGGTGTAAACAGAAGCGGGTGAAAAAAAATAAACACGCATCGCGGGACTGGGACAATTGGGCTCCATCCTCTCGGTTCAGCCCTGCCCTGCTGATGCCCGGGCGTCCTCGCCGTTTCTCGCCTCTTTGCTCCTTTGCCTTTTCTTTCTTTCCGGCTTTCCCGATCAGTTCATTGAGGCCTGAGAATCATAGGGATCCGTGTTCAGCTCCTGCAGAAACCCAGTTAGGCATGCGTAGGCCCCTGCCACCGACACTCTGCAAACGTCAAGGTAAAGGTTTGTTTTCGCGAGCGATGCGAGCTGCAATGGCCCCCGGCCTCACCCTCGCTGTCGGTCGCCTGCCCCCCTGACATTACATAATGATGTGTCTGTCCCCGCTGCCCCGATCCGTCCATACTGGCAGATCATTCAAAGAACCCTTCCTTTGGGTAAGGGAAGAAAAAAAAATGCATAGCAGGTGTAAAGCCCATTTCCCTATCTTCTGCTTCTCGCCGGAATTTAAGAGTAGAATTTGATTTGTCACTTGCTCCCAGGGCACTGAAGTGGGAGTAGGGGGGTGGGTATCGGTTTGATGGTTGCGGTGAAATTCTCCAGACTAGTCTCCATGTCTCCATGCACGGAGCGGGGAGACGGGTAGGAAGGGAAGGGAGAATTTTATGGATGTGGGCAAACCCTGTGAGGTTTTGGGGCAGAGCAGGCTGACCCTGGGCCTGCATGGATCCTGGACCTGCCATTTGCTAACTCTGGTTCTCAGTTTTCTCAGCTTTAAGAGGTGACAAGAGAACAATTTTGCTGAGTTTGGTTTGGAATCTGGATGCCGTTGACGTTGGTGAATGCACAATGAGGAGCCTTAGGCTGTCCGAGAATTATGCCTGATTTTTCTTGGGTGGAGAACAGGCTTTTTTCAACAGGAATTTTGTCTTTGGGTCTGGGTGAGGGCCCTACTTTGAGGGAGTCTGTGGTGGAAGGTTTACTCCTGGAAGATGAAATTGATTGGTCTCTTTGAAGACAGGTGAATAATGGTACACCCTGGCAAGGTCTGTGTGCTATTCCATGGGAGGGCCAGTGTGTCAGAAGACCATGGTTATGTCCAGGAGTGGGACTGCTGAGAACGGCATCTTCTTTGTTTGTGCTATCTTATAAACACGCCTCTAGCAACAAGCCAAAGTTACCAGAGTTGCCTCTGTAGACTGAACTTAAATGAATTAATGTATGTGGGACAAATGTATGTTTCTCTCCCTCCCTCCCTCCCTCCCTCCCTCCCTCCCTCCCTCCCTCCCTCTCTTCTTCCCTCTCTTTCTCTGGTGTTGTACAAATTTAAAGAGGAAGAAGGATTGTATTTCTATGGGGCTTCCCTGTGGTCTGATCTTAGTTTTGCTAAGTCTAGAAACTAATTTGCTTCTCTGTTTTTCTTCTTATCTCAGTCTTTATCTCTTCAGGAACCAGTCATCTCTTCTAATTGGCCTCAAAGTCCAGGGTAGATATAATTTATCCTATTGTTTGAAAAATGAGTTATTTCCTTGTGTTACTGTAAAACTGAAAATTAAAAAAATCACCTTGGGGGCAGAGGGTAGAGTGCTGGCCTTGCAAGTGACTGACCAGGGTTTAGTTCCCAGCGTCACATATGGTCCCCTGAGCCTGTCAGGATAATCCCTGAGCACAGAGCCAGGAGTAAGCTCTGAGCACAGCTGGGTGTGGCCCCCCCCAAAAATAAAGCCCCCAGAAAATCACTTTAAGGGAACGATAAAGTAAAATGCTTGTGTACTTTCTGCAAACTAAAGCACCAGAGAGAGGTGGGTTGTAGGTGACAGAACTATTCTTTCTGCAAGTCCCTGTGGCCAACTGCCTCCCTGGGAGCCTTCTCAGAGATCTGAAAATGCACCAGAGGAATGGAACAGAAATACATGTGGCACCCTCTGACCTCTGAACCCCCACCTTGTTGCTTAATGCCTCAAGATCTAATGAAAGAGTGGAGGAGCTGGAACCAAGACCTTGATCCTTCATCATGGTTTCTTATGACCAGTCCTTTTATAGATGATATGTTCCAGACAAATCCTCATTGCTGTCACCAGCTATTCATAGTGTCAGGAAACTTTGGTCTTTCACTGAAGAAAATTAGCACAAACCTGTACTGAGGAAGGCTTGACTACATCCTTGCTGCTTTTGTGGAATTTGATTAATGAGCTGGTTTTGAGAGGCCTTCCTGAGCGGCTTTTTTTCAGGATCCTAGAACAGAAGCTCTGAGGGGAGCTTATTCTAGGGAGACAAATATTGATACAAGAGTGGTCTTGCTTCATTTTATCTCTGTGATTCTAAGGGTCAGCCATCATGAATTTAACCCTCAGGAATCGACTTCTGTTTTTGAACCCATGCACTGATTGCTCTCTATTTTTTTTTCTATTTTGATACTACTTTTGATTTACCAAGAAGTTAAAAATATAATTAAAGAATTCACAGAGGGCCAGAGTGATAGTACAGTGGGTAGGGCAGTTGCCTTGTACCCGGTCGATCTGGGTTCAGTCCCCAGCATCTCATCTGGTCCCCGAACACCACCAGGAGTGATTCCTGAGAGTGGGGCCAGGAGTAACCCCTAAGCATTGCTGTGACCCAACCCTTTTTGCCCCCAAATTCCACGGGTAATCTTTACCAGAGCCTTGAATTGTTGGCCTTTACTGCAGTTGCTTTATTTTCTCATGTTTGTATGCAGTTACTAATTTTGGAATGTCATTTAATGTTAAGTTGCAGACAAATGCAAGCTGGGGGGTGGGAGGGAAACTGGGGATATTGGTGGAGGAAAGGGAACACTGGTGAAGGGATTGATGCTCCATCATTGTACACCTGAAACTTAATCATGAATAATTTTGTTACTTTCGGATCCACAGTGACTCAATAAATTTTAAAACAAACTGAGTAAGGACAAAACAACAAAGTGTTCTTTTACTTCTAAATACTTTTTTGTTTCCTAAAAAATGGGACCATTTTTTAACAACAGCATAACTATTAACTCTCAAGACATAAAATTGTGATGATAGGCTATTATTTAATCCAGAGGTCTTTTTCAGGTCTTACCAGTACCCCAATAATGCGTTTATGGGCTGGAGCAATAGTACAGTGCATAGGTTGCTTGCCTTGCGCGCAGATGACCTGGTAATCCCTGACATCTGATTGTTCCCTGAACTTACTAGAAGTGATCTCTGACTGTAGGGCCAGAAGTCAGCTTTGAGTACTGTTGGGTGTAGCCCCCAAACCTTAAAAAAAAATTAAAAATATGTGCAAAAGCAAATCTAGAACTATGTGTTGCATGACTTGTCCTGTCTGTTTAGTTTAGCCTTTATGTTATTCTATTTGGGCTGGAGCAATAGCACAGCGGGTAGGGCGTTTGCCTTACACACAGCCAACATGGCCGACCTGAGTTCGATTCCTCCGCCCCTCTTGGAGAGCCCAGCAACCTACCAAGAGTATCTCGCCTGCACGGCAAAGCCTGGCAAGCTCCCCGTGATGTATTCGATATGCCAAACACAGTAACAAGTCTCACAATGTTACTGGGCCCGCTCGAGCAAATCGATGAACAATGGGAGGACCGTGACTGACCGTTATTCTATTTATTTTTTTTGTTTTTGGGGCCACACCTGCCAATGCTTAGGGGTTGCTCCTGGCTGTGCACTCAGGAATTACTCCTGGTGGTACTTGGGGGACTATGTGGGATGCCAGGGATCAAATCTGGGTCATCCATGTGCAAGGCAAACATCCTACCTTTTGTTTAGCCTCTTTCATGTGGACCACTTCCTGAATCATCTTTGTATTTGGCGATGTTGACAGTTTTGGAAAACATAGTCTGTTTTCTGGATAATTACCCTCAGTGTGGATTTTCCTGCAGTTTCCTCATGATATGCCTCAGGTTATGCCCTTTGGGCATAAGTTATGCCCTCTCTCTCTCTGGTCCCTGGATCTTGGTTTTTAAATGCCATGTTTTACTAAAAAGAATCAGGATTATTTGAAGAAGTAATTGATTCTAGAGATGGAAGGTAGAAGCTGAGTCTGTAAGATTTTGTGCCAGAAATCATCAGAAAATTAAGAAGACATGTCAAAATAGCCAGCATAAAGGGGTCCTGCAGGCCAAGTTCAAGGCAATTTAAGCAACAAAGTGGGTAATGACAACAACAGGCTATATAATCTAGTTTGCTTTTTAAAAGGGGCAGGAAAAAGAGTGCAAGGCAATGCACTTTTCTGGCAGGCAGTCAACCTCTGTTCAATCCCCTGCTCTACATATGATCTCCCCAAACACTGCTAGTAGGAGTTGACCCCTGAGCAGAGCCAGAAGGAGCCTTGGAACACCACCAGTATGCTTGCTCCCCCACCCCCACAAAAGAAAAAGGAATTTATGCACATGCGATCACAAATCACAAATCATCCTGTTATTCGTCGATTGCCTCGAGCAGGCCCCAGTAATGTCTCCTTCATCCTAGCCCTGAGATTATAGTCAAGGCTCTTTAGGAGAATGAGACCCATCATTGTTACTGGTATTTGGCATATTGGGTACGCCATGGGGAGTTTGCCAGACTCTGCCGTGTGGGCAGGCTACATTAGGTAACCTGCCAGTTTGTCCAAAGTAGGAATGAGATAATAAGATGTCATAATAAGATGTCCCGCGGTTCCGGGAGCTGGTTTTTAT